GACACTTTTCAAGTGTGGAATTAGGATTTAGATGTGTGAGCTTTGACTGATTGATTGATTTAGGTGTGTGTTTTTAAAAAAGAGACAAAAGATACCAAACGGAAAATCATACACATATATCAAAAAAAAAAAAAAAAAAAAAAAAACTGACAATGCCATGCCAAAAAACAAATATATCTAGACGAAAAACCTTTCAAACGCACACACTTAGCCAAAGCGAACACGTTTCCAGTTTAAAAATCAAACAAAATTAGAAAAATAGAAGTCCCCCACAGAGTAAGTTTATTTCCCTGTAGTCATGTTTTTATACCCTCACTTTAAAAAAGTGGGGGTATACTGTTTAACCTCTGTCTGTCCGTCAGTCCATCCGTCAGTCCGTCCATCTATCATTCCGTCAGTCCGTCCGTCCGTCCGTCTGTCCGTCCGTCCGTCCGTCCGTCCGTCCGTCCCATGAATATTTTCGTCGCATCTTTCTTAGGAACTACATGACAAGGATTTCTGAAATTTTGTTTCAGGATTTATATAAGTCAGATATAACGTGTGATGCGTTTTCAGATTCATCACTCAACAACTTCCTGTTTACCGAACACTTGTATCATTTTACACATGATAGCCAAGTTGAAATTTTTCGTCACATTTTTCTCAGGAACTTCAATACAAGGATTTCTGAAATTTGGTTCCAGGGTTTATATAAGTCAGCTATACCGTGTGATGCGTTTTCAGATTCATCACTCAACAACTTCCTGTTTACCGAAATATTTGGGCGGGGGTATCATCAGTAGCTCGCAGTTTCACTTGTTAGGCATGCATTTATAAACATGTAACATATTTATAGGCACAGGTTTCATAGGACACTTTTCAAGTGTGGAATTAGGATTTAGATGTGTGAGCTTTGACTGATTGATTGATTTAGGTGTGTGTTTTTAAAAAAGAGACAAAAGATACCAAACGGAAAATCAAACTCATATATCAAAAAAAAAAAAAAAAAAAAAAACTGACAATGCCATGGCAAAAAACAAAAACGACCAAAAGACAAACAACGGTATACAAACAAAATAACAAACAAACTAAAGACTGAATAACACGAACCCCACCAGAAACCAGGGGGATCTCAGGTGCTCCGGAAAAGTTAACAGATCCTGCTCCACATGTGGCATGCGTCGTGCTGCTCATATGAGTAAAAACCCAGTGTTAAATCTAAATCTGTAGGTATTTTTCGAGGAAAAGAGGACCTGATTGTGGTTACGACAATTGGAATAGATCCGTCGTCATCTGTAAAACAGATATTCCATTACTGTCAATCAAATCGTGATGGCGTCCTTAAATTTTGCGAAGGGATGATTTCAACTTCACCACTTTTGAACTCTTGGTTTAAAGCTTCCTTGTAAGCAGCAACCAACTACATAGGAAACCGTGATAGGAAATTTAAGCCATGCAATATCGTATCAACAGGGAGACATATAGTCCATATGCAGGCGCTGCTGGGATGTTGCTAGATAGAAATGGAAAATCATAATTGGGAAACTGAAATCATCGCTTTTGTCTTAAAGTTTTGTTTTCAACCAACCCCCATTGTCAATTTCTAGATGTAAGTCAAGATATGAGGCAGACTTAACTTTATCTGCTGTATCCTTTATTTCAAGTTCAATGGGATAGATGCGTTTGACATAGTCACCAAACTTTGAATTATTTAGTGAGAGGACATCATCTGTAAAGCGGAACGTGACGTTAAAGTATAAAGCTAGCTTCTTTTCAGTCTTCCGAAGAAACTGCTGTATGAAGTCTGCATCATATGAATAAAGGAACAAGTCGGCAAGAAGATGAGCACAGTTGGTTTCTACGGGAATGTCGATTGTTTGTTAAAAAACACGTCTTCCGAACGCAACATATATGCTGTCAATCAAGAAATCAATCATATTTGTTAGAGTCCGAATGTTTTTGTTTTACAAAGTACGATGTGTTCCTCTAAAAGACAAGATAATTTTATTTATGTTGGCCATTTTTTTATTGGAATAAAGCAAGACCAATTCTTGCAATGTATCTTTTACTTTGGAATGGGGAATACTTGTGTAAAGGGTATAAAAGTATCGATCTCGGCAACCCTTTTTAGGAATCAAAAGATTGATCTCGTAGACTTCTGTGACCTTACTGTCTCTGATAATTTGCTCTAAGACTTTTGAATTCTTCATGTTCTTTGGATATCAAACCATTTGCAGGCGCAGATCCAGATTCGAGGATAGGTGTGTAAGTGTCTTATAATGAAATGATATTGTCGAGCATCGCAGTTGGAAATATTTTTACATATTAGAGGGAAATTTAGTGAACGAAAACAAAGAAAATTCACCGTTCTTATGATAGAGTCGAGAAAAATTAATAATAAGACAATGCCGGTGACGATACTGATCAAAAGTTATTTCTAAATAACAATTGTTCATTTTAAATAAACAATTTGTTAAACTGTGTGATTAGAAATATACATGCAAAAAACGATGTTTTTTATTCAGTATTTATCGATATAATTGCATTAGAAGCTTGTTTGACTGAAATCTAAAAAAAAAGGTTAATCTTTGCTCCATATTTATAAAAAAAATGGGAAAAAATCATGTACGTACAAAATCTAAAGATCTTTCGGGTCAACAATTTTCGAAGTTTTCGAGTACATCGGTCTGCTCTTGTCATATGAGCATTCAATATAGAAATATTGTCTTTTCGTGAATTAGCAATTTAAAAGTTTGTCTGTGCAGGTTTAAATAAAGGCAACAGTAGTATACCGGTGTTCAAAAGTCATAAATCGATTGAGAGAAAACAAATCCGGGTTACAAACTAAAACCGAGGGAAACACATCAACTATAAGAGGAAAACAAAGGAACAACAGGAACACTGAAGTGCAACAAAAACAAACGCCAACATGCATAGAAACGAACTATTTGATAACAACTGCCATATTTCTGACTTGGTACAGGACCTTTTAAGAAAAAATGATGGGTTGAACCTGGTTTTATGGCTAGCCAAGACCCGCTTATATGACAATGTTAAAAAATATCGCTAATTCAAATTGACAACACTACGTGACAGAAATACAGCACAAACACACAGAAGAACACTCATCACAGAGAAACGCACAAATAAATAATATAATAGTCGACACAACATGCAAAACGCAGAACAACAACGAACATCTTTCATCAACCACAGACACCACAGGGCATCACAAACAGTGACGCACCTACGTAACGAACATGCAGTCTCGAACTTTATACAAATATTTTTACCATACCAGTCCAAACAGTTTTCATGACAATGATGGTATTGAAAAGCTTTTTTATAATTATTTGGACTACAAACGATAAGACATTACACATTATCTAACCGAAACCATAACAGAAACATCAAAATTAAATACATGAATGTTGGATGTACAAAATACCGAGACACGTCGTATAGCAATGCAAATTCACACTCGGTATAACAGTCATATTCGGGAATAGGTCACGTTCGGAACTTAGCAGACAGACGATATAGGATACTCCTTAAATTGATGTTTTGTAAAAGATATAAATTTAAGGCAAATTGAATGCAAAGATATATAAGAATATTACTCAAATGATTATAATTTTCTTCGGGCAATTAAAAAAATGAATATTTTAGAAATTATTTTTTATGCCCCCGCCGTAGCGGAGGGGTCATTAAGTTTAACCCTTGTCCGTCTGTACGTCCCAAAGTTGGTTTCGGTTCTCTAACTTTAGATCAACTTTAACCAAATGTTATGAAACTTATACACAATGCTTATTACCACAAAACACAGATCAAATTTGAATTTTGGAGGCGTCACCTTAGCCGTTCTAGAGTTATGCCCCTTTACAAATGGAAAAATTGCGGAATTTTTCGTTTCCGTTCTCTAACTTTAGTTTGCCTCAACCAAATATTATGAAACTTATACACAATGCTTATTACCACAAAACACAGATCAAGTTTGAAATTCGGGGTGTCACTTTTATTGTTCTAGAGTTATGCCCCTTTTACAAACGGAAAAATTGTAGAATTTTTCGTTTCTGTTCTCTAACTTAAGTTTGCCTCAACCAAATGTTATGAAACTTATACACAATAGTAATTACTACAAAACACAGATCAAGTACAAATTTGGGTAGTCACTTTTACCATTCTTCAGTTATGTCCGTTAAAAACTTTATATGATATGCCAGCGGGGGCATCATCTGTGTCCCATGGACACATTCCCCATTTATTACATCTCTACTTCCTTTGAATGCTTCAATTTCAAATTATATCAACTAATGTTAACAGCTTCTACATGAAATATAGAGTAAAGCTCTGTCGTGTTTACTTGCTAAATAAAACCAGGAAGCATATGATTTAAAGGTTGATTTAAAATAGTGTGAATGAAACATGAAGAGGGGGTATGCCTGAAATAGATAGAGTATACAAAATTAGTAATAATCAATGGAAAGAGAAAATAAAATTAAAGTTTTAAATTATTTATAGTTAATACTTCACCATGTGAACATGTTTGGAAACTGTTCGATTTAAAATATAAAAAATGTCCCCTAAATACTTAAATTCAGCTGAAAAAGTTTGTACATCTTATGACTAAGATTTTCTTCTTCAGTGATGGTCATGACCTGCATTTTCATTTTCAGAGGATGACAAATATGATGTACATGTATGTACATAGTTAATAGTAAGGGTAGGGTTTTTTTCTCGACAAATCCTGTTCCCAGCAAGTTGTTTTGCTTAATAAGGCCAGTTCGTCCCTGGAAAGTAAGTGGTTTTGTCTTGAATTAAACAATATATACATATTGATAATGTGGAAGTTAATCTCATTCATTTATCATAAAAAATTATAATGTTTCACAATCCTCTTTGCTCTCTTTGACCATGAATCAAGTAGACCACTAAGGTGGATTGATATAAAATGTGAAGAGAGCGAAACTTGATATGATTATTGTATGAATAAATTTTATGCTTGTGTATTCCAGCTCAAGATGAGTAGAAAAAGGACATGGATGCCTGAATTCTACAAAAAGAAGAAAGTATGTACAGAATCTCGTAACAAAGTACCTATAACTGATGCTAAAAGGGAAGAAGGTAAATATACATTATAACATGAGTTCAAATAAGACATATACATCCAGTATTCCATGGCCATTTCTTTCTCTTTGATGTTATAAAGAATGAAAAGCATAAATGTTTATTACATTTACTATAAATGTTATATTTTAGTATCTAGAGTGCCAACTGATACAGAGGTGTATTTGCTGTATTTTAAAAACTGATTTCCATTAGATAAATTTGAACATCGACTTCCACCAATAGTACTGAAACATCAGTTATACAGTTTGAACAAAAACAGAACTGTTGTTGATAAAGAGCTGGTAAGTTGGAATGTTTTATTGTAATTGGTAAACAATATCACACAAAATGACAGGAATTAATATTGTTTAATACATTGAAACAGAATTTGCATGTTTGAAGTAGCAGGACACATTAGGAAATATCCCATACATTATACATTTAATTTTTGAGCCTTAAAGGTAAACTGTTAAAAAGTGACAACTCTTGTTGTTGTAATTGATTGATATGGAGGGCAATATGGTGCTGTATGCTTTTCAAATCAAGAGGCCCCCTCGTCTTAGTGTTTGATGCATGAACGTTTTTTAGACTCTTTTTCAAATGACTTAAAAAAAAACCATTTTGTTTGTTTTGTTACTTAAGATATGAAGAATCAATTATACTGTAATGTCCATAGTAGGGATCCTATTTTCATCAACACTGCTGTTGATCAGGTAGTAAAAAAAAGATATACTCAACGTTATATAACATGTTTAATGAAAAACATTCAATATGAAAATAAGACATGATTTTTATAAGAATTACATCCTTAAAGACACTTTAACAGCAGATTTCCATGTCATTGTCTTATTTAAAAATATTTTTTATCTTCAGAATGATCTGAAAAATAAAGGTTTGATAAAGATATTTAAGATAGGATCTGAGTTTGATGAATATGCAGTTGTGTTTACAGAAGATTACAGATGTCATGTGACCCGAGTTATGGCTGAAGTTTCTGTGCCAAAAAATATAGCAGGTAAAATAAAATTAAGGAAAAATAAGATAGTGTGAGTAAAAAAGATTTGGGGTACATTTCAATGTGACATCAACTCAACAATAAAAAAAAATCCAAAAAGTTTAAAGTAGTTTGTCTACAGTGATAACTAGCCTGTCAACATTGAGAATGTGAGTCTGAACTCTTTTTATTGCAAATTGTTTTTGACTTCAATCTTAATGACAAGGACTGCCAATTTTCCAGCTGAATGTCAGAGTTTTCTCTGGGTACTCTAGTTTCCTCTACTAATAAAACTGACTGTCACAATATAGCTGAAAGCGGTCTTAAACACCAACAAACAAACAACAAAAATAGTAACTAAACAAAAGTATCATTCATATATCTATGTAAAATAAAGGTATAGAAAATAGGAATGCAAAGATTCAGATCCAATATGGTAGTTAGGTAGATAGGAAAAATAAAGAAAGTTTTTGATAGATTCACAGTATGCAGTGAACAAAAATTTAATTCAAACAAAAGCTTCATGTGTCATCACCTCCCTCGTACAAATCATTTAATCAATAATATCCACTAATTTGAAATATTAGTTTTCAGATAAATTTGTTAACACCATTGTGAAGAGATGTAATGATGTATATGTAAATAAAGATACATTGATAAAAGAATATAACTTTAAAGATGACGATATTACGTAAGTATAGAGCAGGGAACATTAATAATATTAAACTTCAATGTATAATCCAAAAAATTTAATATATACTGCCTACTTTTGTTAGAAATTTCATCAAACTTTGCTTATTGGAACCATTGTTGGTTGATTTTTGTTGATGAAGAAATGATACTTGAAGTGTTTTTAGTTCTACAATTCTATTACCAACAATTTGCCGTTTCAGAATTTAAAACTGGGATATTGTACATGTAAATTATTTGTAAAGTATGTGTAGAGATTTTGTATCATGAATTAATACACCACATCTCTTATTTTTCCATTAGATCAAGGAGTCAAATATTTAACTCTCTCTCTCTCTCTTAGAAAACCCTGTTTTGGGTACAATAGTATTGTCATATGTTTAAAGCATAACAAATTATTAGGTTAAAGTATAAAAAGTTCTATTGTTTATTGTAAATTCAGAAATTATTGCGAGGTTTTTATTAATGCGAATAATGCGACTGGGAAAGTATCGCATTAATAAAAACTCACATTTTGATATCTAATACATAATAATGTATGCAGATTTGCCTGAAATCGCAATAATTAATCTCGCATTATTGTCCATTTTTAAAAAATCGCAATAATTTCTGAATTTACAGTAATACATCTAGTGTATATCAATATATTTGTATTTATGTTTTCATATAGGCAACTTCTGAAAGCCACAGTGTTAACAAACAGAACTGTTGGTAGTTGGTGGTTAGCTGTACCCAATACTGGAATGTTTATGAAAAGTTTACTGCGTGGGAGGAAAGCCATACTAACCATGATTAAAAAAAGCAAATACAAGGAAATACTCAAAAATGTATGTAGTATGTTTGCATATTCTTCTTAGTCATGGACACCTGGGTCTAGGTGAGGCGAGTAGTTTGCTTTTCTGGTTTACATTTACATATATGGATCAATAATGCAATCTTGTCCTGACAAAGGTAATAGTCTCATTACATATTTCACATTTGCCTATATATATCACTGCAACCTAGGTCTAGGTGGACAAAATAACGTATAGTTTAAAAAAAAAAATAATAGCTATTTAAGTCATAGCAACCTGATCACTAGTAAGTCAGGGGTACTACTTGTACAAGTTATCTTTATTTACTTGAAGAAGTAAATAATAATATACTTATATAAGTAAATTTTGTTATGTCCATTTTTTCTTATAAAGTTTGAATAATCTCCCTTTAACTTTCTCAAAAATTTACTTGCATAAGTAATTTGGTTTTTCAATCCTGAAAATTCTCAAGTCTTGAGATGTAAAAACATGCCTTTAACAATTTTACTCTGGTTAGCTCATAATGTTTGATTAGATCAATGTTTCATCTCATTAATTCAACAAAGAAACTAATTGTGCAGAGATCTTAAGTAATAGCGCAAGGCCTTCAAAATTTTCACCTTGCACTTTTACAACTTGACTGTGGTTTGCTATAGCAATTCGTTATAATTTCTATCCAGTTGAACAATTTGGTTTGATAAAACAAATTTCAATTTGGTCAGAATTTTAAGTAAACTGCAATAAGTGGAATGCAACACTTATAGTCAAGTCACAGTAAAAAAATATATCATTTATGAAAATTTAGAAAAAAAATACATCTTGAAATCCTAATTTTCATCACAAAAGTTAGTATGTTTATCTTTTAATTTTTTTTTCTTTTAAAATTTCAATTTGTTCAGACTTTATGGAGTCTAGCTTAGACATTTCCCTTTCAGATTATGCATATTTTGTAAATAGATGTTTGGTCATTTATCCTAAATCATGTGTTATGCTTTCAATATGAATTGATTTGTATATCTAATGTTCAGTTCGTTAAATGCCACTGAAGAAAATCTTGGGATGAAAACTTATTTAATTTCATATCTTCTAATTTATATTTTTTCTTGTAGGATTTAGAACAGAGAAAATTACCTAAAATGTGTCGTTTAGGATTGACATATCATCTACAAGATATTATTGGTGCTGATCTGATACTCAGGTAAAGTATTGTTACATTGAGGAAAGAAAGATTCCCCCCCCCCCCCCATAAATATGAATAAAAGATGTGGGTTACATCAAGGAGACAGCAACCCTATGACTCCTCCAAAAAGAAAGAAGACACATGGCACTGGCCAACAAATGACAGCATGGAAAATTATTTTTACTTTTTCTAATTTCTCATTTTGACTGACAATGAATATACTGTAATGACACTTAAGGTTATGATTTTTATTATAATCACTTTCTACATACTACTTTAAAATCTTGGTCTGCCTAGCATACAGTTATCATACAAACAATATGTTCAAATACAGAAAATTGCACATAGTCAAATAAATTCTAAAAAGATTAATAGCATCATTTAACTTCTACTAATCACCCATGCCAGTGTCAAAGTAAAAAACTATTATACAATAATGTCTGATGTGTGTACAGGCTCGTAAAGTTTCTATTTTATCTTTTTATCCATTCCTAATTTTTATATAAAGAAATGTTGATTTTACACTATACAAACAACCTCGGGACAGCTGCTAAGATTGAAAGATTGATGAAACTCTCATTAGAATGTGATGTATGAAGACTGGGATGTTATTGATGATGATGATGCTGTGTGTTTGTATTGTTCTTTGTTAAACACATATATTTATTAGTTTGAATGTGATAGGGGATTTTTTATGAGTACAGTACTTGTTAAACTTGCATGGTTCCTGTTTAAACATGACCATGTAAACAAAATTGTTCTTCTTCAGAGTAGGAATTCTAAAGAATTATGAATTCATTTTTTGTTGTTTTGTTTTTTAGATTTTTGTATCGAACACAAAGTGTTGCATTGGTAAAAACATGCTTGAGTTTTAAAAATTAAATCTACAAGTCTATTTTTCTTGTGTCTATTAGTTAAAATCTGAAACATGAAATTTGCTATTGTTTTATTTTAAAACAAAATAGAAATATCAATGAAAATTTCTGATATTGTCAAGGAATGACAGTCTTATAAACAAAGTAACAAGAAGCATTTAAAATGTCAAGTAACATTGTAAATTATCCTAACTAGAATTAACAGAAATATTTAAAATAACTGATAAATGTTTTATAAGGTAGCCATATATGTGAAAAAATGTTATATATGTGATAGTTTATTAGCTGTTTATTTATTTATTTGAATTAATTTATTATATGAATGTCTGATCACTACATGTGTCCAGTTATTCAAAATAACCATCCTTTTATCATGAGTTTTTCCACTTCTCTGGACATCTATAGGATTTTTTTTAATGATTGAAAGTTATTCCTCAAAACAATGGTCAATATCTTAGTTAAAACCAGGCTAAACTAACACATTATATTAAGTGTTATGAGGTTTAAGGTAGTCTTGAGCTAGACATATTGAAATAAGTATAAATGTTTCAGTAGCATACAAACCCCCAAAAACAGATATGTCTGTCAAAAAATATCTAATGATTTCTGGTTAGATTTCAGATATTTCAAGAAGAAGATTCTAAAAATTATTAATTATCATCAACATCCTATAGGAATTTTGCCCTTAAATGACAAGTTTTACCCAATATTGTGTTTTGGCAATCATATTGAAAATTTTAATAGATAGAGAAAACACTGTAACAGAAAAAATTATCAGCAGCCAATAATTTAGGCCATTATAAAAAAAATCATAGTTGTATAAAACTTGGTTTCAAACATAGTTAATTACTTTGTGAGTTAAAGATTGCTGCCACTAGGTTGTTTTGTTTCTACGGCAAACGATGTGACCAAATTACACTGGTTATGTATAGAAACAAGAATATCAACTAAATTGGAATAGTTTAATATGACTGAAATGAGGGTGTACGAACATTCTGAAATAATTTATCATTTGCTAAAAAATGCAGCATCTCATCCCCAAACTCTTTAAAAGGGCCCCTATAATATCTACATGTAAGAGCAAGGTGGACAGGGTTAGGGACCTTGGACTTCTGATATATGGAACCTTTGGTTCAAGGGTGGTGGGCTAGGAGTAGAGTGGTCAGAAAACATGAGAAATTAAGTGGGCTGGAGGAAAATCAAAATAGGTGACAATAGAAAAGTTCAGGGCTACCTAGTGATTAGGAATAAAGGGATGACCATTTTGATATTCCATTGGGGCGATGGGACTTGCGTGGTTCTTGTTTAAACATTGCCATGCAAAAAAAAAAATGTTAAAGAAAATTTAATGCAAAGCACAATGCAACATAAATATTTGTATTGCTATTCATTTACAACGTTATTTTGGTTAAGGATATTTGATGTAGCTTCCTGAAATGCCAAGATGTTGAGATTCAAACCCTTTCCTCCCCCTTTTCCTTTACCAAAGTTTTTGTCTCGCCTGCGACGAAAGTCGCAGAAAGTGAGACATAGGTATTACTATCCGGCGGCGGCGGCGTTGGCGGCGGCGACGGCGGCGTAAACTATTTGTATAAAGCTTTATATTTCAGAAGGTAGAAGACCTGGATGCTTCATACTTTGTATGCAGATACCTTATGTTACGAACTTTCCGTCTGTCATATGTCCAATGTCCTTGACCTTATTTTCATGGTTCAGCGACTGCTTGAAAAAAAAGTTTAGTTTTTTTGTTATGTAAATTTCTCACTTATATGAGTAATAGGATAACTATATTTGGTATATGGGTTCCTTGCAACGTCTACATGTCCATCAGACAGGGTTCACCTGACCTCAGCCTCATTTCATGGATCAGTGATCAAGGTTAAAGTTACGTGATTAGGTCCGTTTCTCAAATACTACAAGCAGTAGGTCAGCTATATGTGGTGTATGGAATAATTATAAGGGATACATGTCAGTCTGGCAGGTTTCATCTGACCTTGACCTCATTTTCACGGTTCATTGGTCAATGTTAAGTTTTTGTGTTTTGGTCTGTTTTTCTAATACTATAAGCAAAAGGTCAACTATATTTGGTGTATGGAATGATTGTAAGGTGTACATGTCTGACTGGCAGGTGTCATTTGTCCTTGACCTCATTTTCATGGTTCATTGGTCAATGTTAAGTTTTTGTGTTTTGGTCTGTTTTTCTAATACTATAAGCAATAGGTCAACTATATTTGGTGTATGGAATGATTGTAAGGTGTACATGTCTGTCTGGCAGGTGTCATTTGTCCTTGACCTCATTTTCATGGTTCATTGGTCAAAGTTCAGTTTCCTCAATGAGGTTTGTTTCTAAGATACTTTAGGCAATATATGTTAAATAAATTTGGTGTATGGAATGATTGTACGGCCTACATGTTTGTCTGATAGGGTTTATCTCACCTTGACTTCATGTTCATTCATCATTAAAATGTTAATTTAATGTAAAGCTTATATAAACTTATTTTTTTTACTTTCAACATAAATTCAATTATGAACACTAAAACAGGCGAGACATTTCAGTGTGTCCACTCTTGTTTTTTTATGCATGCAGGCCTCAGATGAAATTTTTAAATAACAACTCTTCAAATAATAATCTGTACATTATCTTTTTGAGTTTAATTCAACTTACAACTTTTCCACCATCTAGTATCTCAATAATCTGCAACAAGCTCCTCATCTGAAAATGATGTACTTGGGTGTACACTCATCAGAAAACTTCTTAAAAAACAAACAGACATAAAAATACCTGACAACACCTGAGGGAGAGAACAGTATACATTGGTAGCCAGAAACAAACCAGTCCACTGTTGCTTAAAGTTTTAATGTTGAGTATTTTTGGAATCCAGGGAGCCTCTAGTTTGTGTTGTTTGTAGAATGTACAAATGCATGAATTATTTATTCAAACAATTAAAAATTGTAGTTTCGTTGATTTTTGTGATGTAAAGCTCAAATATACAAGATAAGTTTAACTTATGAATACTTTTGTATGAAAGCAGGTTTTAGTGTTAATAAGATGGAATATAGCACAAATGATCTTGACTCATCAGCAAAATACTAAGTGTTTTTATCTTTGAATCTGTAAGAAAGTGCAGAAATTGTACACATTTCTTTCTTTCATATTTTTATAAATGTTATCTAACATTGTGACAGTTGCTCTAGTTTCTTATCTCTTAAAATAGTATCAAATCGGTAGTAGAAGTACCTCCCAATACACACTGCCCTCATTTTAGAATATGTAGCTATGGAATGGTTCCTAATTACATGTGTATTTGTGCTATATTTTGTAACTAATTTAGGTTTCAATAAATATAAAGTTTTAATAATTTCCTTACCTTTTCAGCTTGCATAGCCCATATGTGATTTGTTACTATAAATTTCTATTATTAATCAGCTATTCTCTCTTTTATGTTGTCCTCTGAAACAACTAGGATAATTTAAAGACAAAAGTAGCAGAAAATATAGTATATTATATTATGATACCACTGTTTTGGTGGGGTTCATGTTGCTTATTCTTTAATATTCTGTGAAGTGTTTGTAAATTTGTTTTTGTTTTTTCTTTTGTTTTCTTCATTGCAATAGTGTTGTCTATCCTTCTTGGAAATGACAATATTTTACTGCCTCCTGGGATTTTTTATTTCCTCATTTACATAGTCATTTAAGACATGTCTGATCATTATGTAACATTGAGTAGCAACCCAGTACTTTCAATATTTTAATGAATATTAGTTTTCGTAATACCTCAAGACATGTTCTCAATCTTCTAGTTGAATTGTTACAGTGATGCTGATCTATTCAGTATTAAATCATAGAATCCACTTTGTTTGATAGTTTTTAGGATTGTTATGAAAGTTTTTGCATATCACTTGGCCAGTAGGGTTCAGTTCACCAAGAACTTATTAGATATATGTATATGTAAGTTATATATATAACTTTTTAAGAAACTACATTTATAAAAGTTTTACAAAAATGTGGAATGGTGTGTAGGACTCTGCATTGTACCTTTTAGTTATAGATAGATGCATATTGATTATTGTATTGTATTAAAGAACTGACATGTGATCTAATAACTAGAGATTTTTATGGTCGGAATTTTGTTTTCTGGTAACATTAAGTTTGAGATCAAACATGTTTGTCATAAATTAAGTGATTTGATATGCTGAGTGATTAACAAATTTTGTATATCAAAGTTATGTATAATCCCAAGTTCAGGGGTCAATTAATGAATAAGATTTATACTACTTTTATTAACCCTATCATGTAGGTACAGTTTTTTACGGGTGACTGCTAGGTACTATAAACTGTTTTAGTCCTCCCTCAGTGTTCTATTATTTCAGAGGGTTGCATTTTCATAATCATTTTACAGAACAAATTTCTGTAAGACATCTAGACTATTTTCTATGGTTTCCAGTATAATTTAATGATTGAAGGATTGAAAAATTCACACATGGAAAGTTTAGGTGTTAGAAATTGTTTTTTTTTGGTTGAGTGGGCTTTAACTTTTTCTGATAGTGCAAACAAGGCAAGCATGCGAAAAGTCTAGAAATGTTCGAAACATAAATATTTCTTTTGATGAAGTGAAGGCCCTGAAATTGCTACCTTTTATTTAAGATTAAATTATAACTAAGAATAGTAAAATTAGTCAATTTTGCTGCTTGTCTGATTGAAAATTTTGCAGAATCAAGAAAAGTTGCATTCACTACACCTTTAATCGAAATCCATTGTTACAAGTTTCTTCAACATAAGGTATACTGGAATTAAACTGTAACAAGTTCAATGTGTGTGTTTTTTTTTCGTTTTTTTTACTTATTCAAAGACATATGGTAAATTTCAGAATTACCAGGTGTATGTGTATTTGTTCATAAAAACCATTTACAATATAAAAGAGAATAATACTTTTTTGCTTTGTTATGTACAATGTTTTAGTGCCTTTTAATAACATTTTTGGTAATAAATACTAGTTTTCCATGTTAGAAATTATTTCTCATTTTCCAAATAAATGTGAATGATCTAGAAGTTGACAAGTGCACCCTTTGGAAAGTCATAAAAGCTTAATTTGAAGTATGTTTTATCTTACAATTCATTTGCATAGTAGTCAGGGACAATATGAAGGGACCGGTCCATTTTATGCTTAATTCCAAAAAAGTGTTCCATTTAGACACCAAATTGGTTTCAAATTATCCCTAATTTGCAAAATCAAATGTTGAATTTATGCACTTTAAGTAGACATTGCAGTTATGGTTTAAATTATTCCCTATTCATGGATTATACAGCCATAAATAAACTCATCATACATGTAGATACCAGATATTTTGTAGGTCAGACATGCCTTTTGTCTACAAAAGACTCATCAGTGACTCTAGAAAGTTAAGAAGACAGGTTAATTTATTTTAATTGTGAAATAACACAAAATTTTGATCTATTTGACTGGTTAATTTTTTAATAGCAGAAATGTAGGTCACAAATGAAGCCCCAAAAACGATTTTTTCTCAGAAAGTGGATCTGCGTACTTCATAGGATTTTAGGTTTTGTCATTCCAAAGCTACATTTTTATCATATAAAATAGGATATTTTTTCTTATCTAGCACTATCTCCAGTACTCCGTGAACCATTTATTTCAAACTATGTTTTCTATGTATTGTGTGCAATTTTGTCCCATGTACATTTACTCCATATCCTTTCATTTTCTATTCACTAAATTATTACAAATGGTAGTAGGCTGAAGGTTTGTATATTTGAAAAAAAATCACTTTTGTAGTTTCAGAGTTATTGTACTCTAATTGTCCCAATACAATACTTTTCTTATGATTACTGGAGACACACACATCATGCACTCATGGCTCAGTCTCTAATTATATACCTCGACTGGGTGTTTCCTTTTATGGTACATACTTGTCTGTGTGTGACAAATATTTGAAGAAATGTTAACTTCTAAGATAGTTCACCAGTATTGTCAGTACTTTACCTATGATGATTTTTTTTTAACCACATAAAGAAATAATAGGAAACCTTGGTAAATCTCATAATGTTTCAAAGATTTCTAAATGAAGTCAAGATGCACAGACATCTCATCCTTGGGGTTAATGCAGGGCTTCTTATTTTCTTACAATTCAAATTTCAAAAATCCAACTAAAATTCTGGCTGGAAGTTCCATCATAAAACGTCAGAATTTTTTTTCAGACAACTTCCAGTTTAACTTGTTAGTTTACAGAAATCTCTCTAACTATAGTTCCTTAGTTAAAAACTTTTTTTCTTCTCCAGACTGAGTTCATACCATATATGTTTTGTTTAATACGTCACATTTATACACAAAATATTAAGTTGAGAAATGTGTTGCATTTTATTAAATAGATGTGAGATATGTGCCTAAGATTACATGTTATGTAAGGGTTCAGTTGTTCTATCCCTGTCCATTGATGATCCAGTCATTACACATTACACACTATTTACCGGATTTGTAATAACATAAGCAACACAACGGGTGCCACATGTGGAGCAGGATCTGCTTACCTTTCCGGAGCACCTGAGATCACCCCCAGTTTTTGGTGGGGTTCGTGCTGCTTAGTCTTTAGTTTTCTATGTTGTGTCATCTGTACTATTATTTGTCTGTTTGTCTTTTTATTTTTGGCCATGGCGTTGTCAGTTTGTTTTCGATCTATGAGTTTGACTGTCCCTCTGGTATCTTTCGTCCCTCTTTTAAACAAATCATCTGCCTATGATAGTAGTTCGAAATCTATAAAGGATTTGTACCAGTACTTCTTGCATTTCGATTTAATGGATAAACATGGTAATTGATTTGTATATAATTTAAAATGATATATGTACATAGTACAATTATAAAACATAATTTGTCAAATGAAAATGTCAAGGATTTCTTCTGCCAGACATAAATTTCTTAACTATCTTCCGTATTCTTGATTTCAGATCATTCTTATCGTCCTGAAAAAAATCCAATATTTAATGTAATTATCACATAATGAGCAACACAACGGGTTCCACATGTAGAGCATGGCTTGCTTACCCTTCCAGAGCACATGAGACCACCCCAGGTTTAGTGTTGTTCCTGTTGCTAAGTCTTTAGTTTTCTAAGTTGTATTTTGTATACTGTTGTTTGTCTTTTGGTCGTTTTTTGTTTTTTCCATGGCATTGTCAGTTCTATGTCGACTTATGAGTTTGTTTATCCCTTTGGTATCTTTCGTCTTTCTTGTAAAAGAAAAGCGGCATTTATTTTTTTTTATAAACATCCTGGTCAAAAACAAATTATTCATTTTGAAGATGCCAATAATTTCATAAACTATAAATCAGTCATGTACTGCACGTGTGTGAACAAGGAGGATAGTTTGAAAATCTTGACTGCCACTGGAAAATACGGGCGTGTCAATCATTTCAGGTATTGAGAAAATATGCTACTTGCATGCAAATTGCTTCTCTGAAATATTATTGAAATAGCTGATAAGCTGCTGAAAGCATAGTTCTCCTTCAGCATGGGACATTGAATTTAACATCCTGTTCCAACCAGATATATATTGAAAGGAATCATATAAAGATTATTTTTATGTATTTGAAACTCATATATAGGTTCTTATTACACATTAACTAAATGAGAGTTGTCTATATATACTATAAAAAAAATTATAACACTTTTAGATATTTGAATGATATATTTGCTCTCAATAATGACGACTTCAGTATGAACACTAAAGAGATTTATCCTGCTTATCTGACTTTAAATAAAGCAAATACTGACAATGAACACTGCCCATTCCTGGATCTTGATATCTATATCTTTAACGGGAAGCATAATACTAAAATATACGATAAAAGAAATGATTTTTCATTTCCTATTGTTAATTATCCATTTTTAGATGGTGACGTTCCCTTGTCACCATCTTATGGTGTTTATATATCTCAATTTGTTCGATTCGCTCGTGTATGTAACAATGTATTTGATTTTAACGAAAGAAATCTGAGACTCTGTACCACTGAAAAATTATTACACCAGGGTTTTCGATATCACAAACTAGTCAAAACATTTACTAAATTTTATCGTCGGTACACGGACATCATTCGTAAATAAAAATCAACATGCAGACATCTTATACGTTCAGGTATTTCACATCCAATCTTTTATGGTGATATTCTATACAAAGCACAAAAATGTCGTCATTCACCTCAAAAGCTAACAAAACCTTTAAACAGACTTATTCAGAAGGGATATAGTAACGATACTGTTGTCAGGTCATTAAGGATGGCATATTTTGGAATAAGTATTGTACACTCCTAGGGTCTTTGCATCGGAAATAAACACATTTATTCTAAAACCAGTTGTTGGCATGATACGGGTTATGTTCTTGTCATATATTTTATGATGGTATGATACTAAGCCCCTAACCGGAGGGATTGTGCTTGATTTTCATATGATGAAGATATAATCTTTCAATCAATTTAATTGAGGTCTTGCGCTGGCATGTCAGTAACTGCTAGTAGTCCTTTGTTAATTTATGTATCAATGTCATTTTGCTTAGTTTCTTCTGTTACCTATTCTGACATTGAACTCTGGCTTCTTTGAGTTTTACTGTGTGTTTGTTTATTCTTCATTGGCTAGAGGTAAAGGGAGGGTTGAGATCTCACAAAACATGTTTAACCCCGCCGCATTTTTGTCAGGTGCCTTTGGCATTTGTTAGTATGTTTTTTTTTATTTTAGTTCTATAATATGTTTCGGGGAAAGTGAGACGTCCATTTTCACTTAACTAGTACCCATTTTTATTTAGGGGCTAGTTGACGGCCGCCTCTGGGTGCGGGATTTTCTCACTGTGTTGAGGATCCATTGGTGGCCTTGGGCTGTTTTCTGCTCTTTGGTTTGGTTGTCTCTTTGACACATTCCCCATTTCCATTCTCAATTTTATCTATATTTGTCTTGGGACTATACAGGTGAATCCAAATGTTAATATCTGTATTGCTTATAGTTTAGATATAGTTCATCGTTTTATCCTAGATATAGTTCATCGTCTTTCTCTTACATTTTTACTAGATTTTTCAAAAATTTCATGGTTGATATCACATAAATGTGTAAAACTTAAATAGTTTACTGAATTTGAATCACTAACAGCTTTTCAAATTGGTTTACATGAGGGGATGGCACTATTCAATTATTTCTCAGAAGAAGAAGATGAAAAAAAAGAAGACAGGTGAAGGATACCATTCAAACTCATAAGTCGAAAATAAACTGATAAAGCCGAGGCTAAAAAAGAAAAAGACAATCAAACAACAGAACAAAAAACATAGAAAAACACAAGACTGACCAACACAAACCCCACCAAAAACTAGGGGTTATCTCAGGTGCTTCGGAAGGGTGAGAAACTCAGAAACTAATGGGTAAAATCTATCAAAACTTTACAGGAATTACTCTCGATATGGATGCCTTTTTTTGCTTTTCGAGTTACACACTCAAATGAAACGAACCTGTTGGAAATATGATTTCCTTTTCTCTAACGTTAAGCTGAAAAAAGTAAAAATGGTATACTAAATATCTCTCCAAAAAAGTAATACAATGTTGGCAGTAGTAGTGTAAGGAATATCCTTTATACAGAAAATTCTTTGTTTATGTAAGAATTTGACATACCTGATTCTTTCTGTATATGGGACTAACTTTTTTACATTGAGGCGGTATGTCAAAAATCTTTGTGTCTTTAATACCCGGCGTAATACCATAAACATCAACACCTGTTACAGAGCCATAATCTGAATCTATGTAAACTAAATGCACAGGTAGACAGCTACCTCTCTCTATTGTTGCCCGTATGTTCTGGTATGAATCACCTAAAGTCGTATTATATGTGTCGATAATAGTCCCGTCTCCAACAAGTCCACTCTGTAACAGCTTTGCTTCCCCTATAAATATCAAAAAGCAATGTGTGGCAAACAAACACCTTGATTCAGTTATGTTGTTTTATGGGTAAAATCTTGATAAAGTTTATCAAAGGTAAATTTTATCGTTCAGCTAACAAATGGATTAACAGAAGCAAACGCATCCTTACATATATTTATCAAGGATGTACATCAGAAGACGCTTATTCTGTCGATGCACAATGTTTCGTTCCTTTTGAAATCATGTGATTCTCTCAGGATTTGTTGTCCTATTAATTTATTTATAATGTTTTAACATCGGCGCTGAACTGCTGTTGCCTATATAATTAATTGTGTACCTCAGTTTACAGATTATTTTCCCCTTAATTTGAAGTCGAGTTCATGAATGATTTATTGTTGTTCGCTTAACGTCCACTGAAGAGTTCTTGTTTGGGTGTTTACATAATATGAAAAAAATAAAAAAAGGTTTAAAATCTTTTTTCGTAAAGTTTCAAGGAGATGAGTTTAAATATCATCTTAAGTTCCGAATGTCTGAAAAAATAATGATAAAATCATCCATCAATTCCATAATAGCTAATAGCTGATGCACAATATTCACATGTGTATAATCTATGTGAATCCTTTCACACTAAACTAGAACTCCTTTTATCAATTTTGCTGAGAAAAAAAGTACTTCTATTTTTAAACTTCGAAGAGTTGATGATACTCGAAGAACAAATACTAAGTTAACAAGTCTAAATAGTGGGAAAAATTATTAAAACTATTCCATTATATCAGGTGCAAAACTTCAATATGAACGCAATCTTTCGGTGAAGTTTCAAGGATGTGGTGTGATTAGGACTGTAGCAGGAGTGAGTAAACAAATTTGATACCGACTTTTCCTTGCCAACCCCATAGACATTATCATAAAATAAACCAGTTTTGTCTCCGTGCAACCAGGCCAAGAACATCATGTATACGATACCGTGTTGAGTAAATTGCTATGGTAAAATTTCAGTGATACATTGTTTGTTCAAGATCCGTTTTTATGGCTATTTGCCAAATAATTGTACCAGTCAAATTACAATTCTATGTTGCCGTTTAAATTGGTATATTAGCCTGAAAAAATAGATATTTAGCCTTGAAATTGAAATGTACGTTTATTGCATTCATTTACAACAAGAATTGTTTAATTTGGCCTCATGCTTTTTATCTTGTCAAAATATAGGACACAACATTGTTATTTCATGACGAAACTGGCTGAGTAAAAGTGCAAGGTTTATTGGCATTAATTGTATAATGAGAATACACAGGTATCTTAAGATAGTTTGACTAATTGCTTTTTATTTTTTATGTAAAAAAAAAAGTCTTCATAACAAATGGACAAAAATGGTTGTATTTACCCTTCGAACATTTCTCGAAATACCGACAAACCAGTGCAGGCTAGCTGGAAAAGTTTTAATGCCTAGCATCCAATATATAATGTATATATATATATGTTCAGTCTAGGTGACCGAGTGGTCAAGAGCGCTGAATACAGTGCAGGCTGTGTTGTCTCGATATCCCCATAGCATGAGTTCGAATCCCGGCGATGGAAGAACAAAAATTTGATTCCGCAAGTCTGAATTGAAAACAACGTTCAAACTTATGATTGCGTTAGATTTATATAGAAGTCTATAAAAAGGACCAACCAGCAAATCCAATATGTACCGGATCGTCTAGAATATAAATTTGTTGAAATTGAATGCGTTTTCTCTTTTAGAAAAAAATAATCTTTTTGTGATTTTGATGGGCATTTTGATTCATCACGTACTGCAGATGATGGTAAAATAAACAAACATTTGAGTTATATTTGATACAATGTCTACTCAGTTACACCCTTTAAATCACCTACTGCTGTATAGATATCTTTTCTATTGGCTCTATCAATCAATCGGCGCTTTTTCATAGGATATTTGAGCATTTTGTTATAGACATTTGGGCTTTTTTGATTTACACTTCAATTTTTAGAACATTTGCACATTTTCTACAGGACATGTGCATTTAACAAAATAACATTTTAATGAAGGCGTTTTATGTTTTCCTCCTCATTTTCCGGGCTGGAAGAAATTGATCTAACCATTTTCCTACTTCACATGAACAATTTTTATTCCGTAGAGTGTCTTTCTGACTGAATCTTTCGCAACCATTTTTGTGTCAGAAGAAAACGACATTACTTTATCGAATACAAAAAAATAAATCACAAATAATAACCAATGGTATTGAATGTTTTTGAATTTCGTGTGTTTAAAGCGCTTTCCTAGATTTAAAGGAATGCTTAAACCCAAAAAATTGAAAGCCAAAATGTACAAATATATAAAAACATCCGTTGGCTTAAAGATCACTTTTTGATCTCCGCCAATTTTAATAAGCTTAGATGAAGAATGATGATAGTTCTCCTTGAACTTTCCAGGCAATAGAATGAAACATAAGAGGAATGTCATTAAAGTAGTACATGTGTATATGCAAACAGCGCAATTGTCCTGTCAATATATACAGATATATCAAAGTTTAAAGCGCAAATGTCCTCTAGTGCTACAGGTAAAAATCGCAATTAAACGTTCTGTGTCCCAATCAGTACATGGAAAAAATGTTACCTTTCTGGTAAAATTAAATGCATTTTACATTTATGTGTCTAGTGGATGCATTGAAACTTTTCCATCTGCACAGGTTTATGTGTACTGTAGAATAAATTTTTAGTTGCAAATAAAGGCATTATTGTTCATATGTTATGATGACCCTTAAGATAGAAAAAGAATTTCAGCTCTCTTTTGAATCATTTTCAACTACACAATTATCCATCAGTTTTGTATCACAAATGAACTACCATGTAATAAAAAATCCAATTCAAAGGCCTAAATGACACACAAAATAATTAAATATTGACATATTTTGAAGGAATAATTGAAGATATAAAAACTTTTCAAGTTTACGTATGGGTCAAAATATAGGGTTGTTTTTTACTCTAAATATACAATATCGCAATGACATTTGAGTTACTTAAATTTTGGACAAGGTAAATGGCATGACGTCAAATTTATCACTTGGGGTAAGCTGACCTATTAATTGTCAAGGCTAAATATATATTTTCTATGTTAATATACCATTTAAACGGCAACATAGAATTGTAATTTGACTGTTACAGATATTTTGTAAGTAGTCATAAAGCTACGAATTAGTAAATGCATGCAACCGTGGTTTGCTTCGGTAATAAAAATTATTCTACGTGGTTTATGTTAAAATCTTGGGTTCTAAACTAGGTCTGTTTCAATATCAATATACTAATACTCTGGATACAGTACTGTTGTAAATATAGTCATTTTTTGTTTGTTTGTTTGTTTGTTTGTTTTCTTTCTTTCTTCTTTCGTGTCAATATTCCTTCAACCACTGTGGCTACCTTAACTAGCTTCTTGTAGAAATAAAACATTTTGACACAGTTTTCTGTCTGGCTTTTACGCCATATTTTCTAAATAGTCTGTTATTGCTCTGACGTCTGACGACCTATATTAGCGTACTGTGGTCGCTAGACGTCAGAGCAATCTCGGATTAGGTTTATATATGCAAAAAGGGAAAAAGAGCGGGGTTTAGGGTGTGGACATAAAACTGGTTTAACCTCACCACATAATATTTTTGAAACAAGTTTTTTTCATCCTAAGGGGTGTCTATTGTATTGTCAATTTCAGTTGTCCTTTTTGTGTACTATCATAATTTGATGTCTCCTTGAATTAATACTATTCATACCTTGGACACACTGTTTAGTCATATTAAAATCCATCCATGCTTTGTGACAAGTCTTCCCGTCGTCTACTTCATATTCGACATTCTAAAAGCATTGAATACATGAACCCAGAAAAGCGATTCGGACGCATGAAATTTATAACGTGTTGTTTTCATTTTTTTTATCTGAAACTGACGGCTTTTTATGATACCTCATTTTTTTAAACAGCCGCATTCATAATGTAAAGGTTTCATAACTGTAAAGTTATTTTTTGTTTCATATTTGATAAGCAGACGAAAATTTAAATTCCTGTATATTGCTAGATAGAAAATTTATTTCATTCTGTCTGGGGGGAGTTTTTTTTTCGTTTTAACTAAGCGAGGATAGTTATTTCCAAATTACTATCCCCCACCCAAACCGAAAATCAAAGGTTCGTACTCTCATCTGAATTGATCAAAGTAGTGACGATACGGTGAAAAGGATTCAAAAGTACTTAGTATTTAGATTTAAAATAAAAACTTCGTATTATATAATTGTTTTCTCCTCTAATGTAAATCTAAGCATTTTTGTACAATATGCTAAAGCCGTACGATAAACTGATAAAGATGTTCTTTTGAATGGGTATTTCAATTAATTTAGATATCGGGGGGTCAGATTTTATATATTTTTTTTTATTATGTAGTAGAAGATTATTTGCCAAAAAGACAAAAAAAAAATAATTAAGAATACAAAAATCAAATCACACCAAACAAAATTAACGACACGAAAATACAAAAAGGAACAAAATCTTTGGACGAACCTTTGAATTGTGTAAAGGGTTCGACGAAATCAAGAGGGAACCTTATGCCTTTCAATACTGTACAACAAATGCTTCAACGACTTTCCTTTTAGTATTTAACACGGATTTACACTGCTTTACAATCAAAACAACGAATATTCTTTAAAAAAAACACAATTTTGCTGTTGAAGATCGTATAGCTACTGTTAAGCATAGCGATATATGCGAAATCGTTGTAATCCTGGTATCTATGATCGATTAGATGATCCACACTGTGGCTGCGTTATTATTTTGTAAATTACCGGAGAAATTAACTATTTTATTGATAGTTCAGAGACGACTGTTATTTTTGAAAATATATCATCTTCTTTTGATATGGATAACAAAAGAATGTTTAAATACATGTATACGATACCTACATTTGTGTCATGTATACGATACCTACATTTTTGTAGTCTTCGA